ACTTGAGGGGCGCCCAGCCTAAGGGTTCGGCTTCTATTCAATATCGTAATGACAGTTGATGACGTATTTGTCATATAAATGACTTGCGAGACCAGCCGATTTACTAGTCGGCGTTTCTTCTCTTTTTTCCTCCCACCTGAGACTGGTAGCAATTACCGTCATCGGAGAAGTAGCTTGTTTAGCCCAAGCGGGTGTCGGTCCGCTCTTCGAACCCTGGCCTGTACTTTCACTAACGCGAAACCTCAGAACACCCATTCACCCTTGATCACTATCAATCAGAACGAGTCATTAGGTTGAATTGAAAGCTTTTCTTGGGAACACTCATTTTGGACAATGAGTGGGCAGCGGTAGTCTGCTACTATGACAAAAGAAAAAGTGCTGCGAACGACTTGGATAAATCGAAAAATAATTAGTAACGCCTTATGCCCATCCCCTGTTCGATCTAAAGACTACACTCTGAAGAAGAGCGTATGTAATGCTGGAAATGTTCGTCACTCACTTCTGCTGATCATTGAGTGTTTTGTGCGTTGTGAGCTTCTTTTCGGGGTGCCCAGGGCATTTAGCTCCTATCATTGTTTCCCCTACTCTTACTCCTCCCCCCTGCGAAAGGCGAGGCCCCTAATATTGGGTTCCCATTAGAGAGTCTATGAGACTGTCGTAACGTACCTTCATCGACTGTGAAAAGCCTGAAGGGCCAATTTTGCGGAAAGCACTTTCATTTTAATGAGCCTTATGAATGACGCTATGAGGTACTACTTTAATTTGGAGGCAATACAAACGCTCGTTTTTGTAGGAAGGGGGGACGTTCATCTCCCTTCCTGGCTGCTATAATAATAGTGGTTCATTTCCGTATAGGAAATGTGCTATATGCGAGAAAAGTCAGTCAGCCTCCCACAAATGGAGATAGAGGGATCCGATAAACACGATATCAGGATAGCAATAAACCAAACATCTTCCATGCTGTTTGTTGAAGGCGGGAGAAAAAGAGTCTTAGAAGTTTCTGATTCACATTTTCCGCTTGTTTTTATGTTCACGATGGGATTCGATCAACTCAAGGTTGTTTACTAGTTAATAACCCCATTCCTTAGATGGTCGTGTGAAAGTGGATTGACTTATGAGAATACAATTAAACAAAATTGATTTTTTTAATTATTTCTGGAAAGGCACACATTGTTTGGCACCTTTCTTTCTAATTCCAGCTATTCCACGAAGGAGAACTAGCCTTTCACTTTCCCATATTTTTTTCCCATACCCATACTTTTTAATTTGAATTTTTAAAGAGGTTGGAACAATCACATTAGTATCGACCCATTCCCTTACTCCCTATATGAGAGCGGATACCCATTTTATTCCTCCGAAAAATTGAAATGATTTAAATTGTATGGAATGGATGAGTAGAGGAATGCATGACGCACTTCGAAAAGATTTCGTCGACGATCAGTTCATCCCGACAATCTTCTTTAATCCTTAGCATCAGTTCCATGAGTCGCTGCTGCTCGGCAGAGAACATGGCATGTGGATGCTTTTTTTCTTGCCCACCCATAAATCGTTTCTCATTTGTGAACTTTATTTTTTTAAATTTTACTTTTCTGTCTCATTGCCCTCCTAATGTATTTGCCTTATTCTCACTCACCAACACATGTGCCGTTCGAAAAAAGGTTGAATTGGAAGGAGGAGGGACTGTATCGAAATAGGTACTATGTATATGCGTTCATAATCTTCATTCACTTGTAATGAAAGTGTTTGGGCATGGACTTGGTACTTGGACTTTTTGATTGTTATTAGAAGCAACCGACTATATCATGCTTTCTTGCGATGAGCGATACATAGATTTGTACAAACGAAAACATGCAATGAAATGTGGTTTTAGTCAATCACGCACTGCCGTAGTCATGAAGTCGTAACGATTCCGAGTAAAGTTTGAGCGCACGGCGCACTCCGATCATTCTAACAACTTATGGGCCGCATACGTCGCGTGTACAAAGGAGTCGTATAACGTCAGAAGTAATTCTTTCTTCGGTGAACGTGCCATGTATACTACTTTCTTTGAATAACTTCTTAGCGTCAAGTTTACAATTTTCATTTTTCCTATGAATTCATTCACTCTCTCATAGAACTTGAGATATGGCTTTGGAAAATCACCAATAACGGGTTCTTTTTTCTCTTTCCGTATGTACAGCAGCAGTCATTTCAGCTAAAAATAGAGGAATCAGTGTGCCTAGATGGCTAATCGATTCTTCGTTCCAAAGTTGCTCAAAAATCTAAAAAGCATTGCTCGACCTAAGCTTCATTCATGAATATTCATTGCCTGAAGCTTTTAAGGACGAAAGATCTGCTGGTAGCATAACAGAAACGGAAAAGCTGAGAAATAAGAAAAGGCTGTGCTTTACGATGTCTCGCTGATTTAAAAATGGCTTGGTGGCTAGACGTGCTTTACAGGCTGTCAGCGTACGTGGTCAAGCTACGGCGTCTCAGTTGAAAAACGGACCTTTCACTCAATGGTCAAGGAGGGGGTTTTTGTTATTTATATGATCATTTGCGTAGCATGGATCAGCTGCAGTGACTAAGTTGTTCTATAGGCTTCCAGTGTACCCATGTGGAATCATGAACCAAGGCAGTAACCAGTTATGGCGTAGTTCAAAAGTTACAACAGCGAGAGTTCTCGAAATTAACTTGAACTGTGGTTCCTATGCTAGATGTGCCAACGAGGTATTCTGAATCGGAATGGAAGTACTGTGGCATGGTAATGAGCTCAGTCGTTTATATCTGGAACCCTAGAAAGGCCCTCTAATTTTTGACTTTTGCCGTTGCTTCCCTGCTAAGTGGAAAAACATTTCCTACTGTTTCTCAGCCTATCTCGTTCATCTAGAAGACCACAATGAAGCGAATTCATTTGGTTTTTCTTGAAAGCGAAATCATTTGGCATGCATTTTAACTTGAATTCGGATGCTTGTTGCAATTCGCGGATACGACATTTCCATCCGTTCTTGGTTCCGATTGCGTGTACATTTATTATGATAACGATTCCATTCCGAAAAGCTAAGTTTCTGGCAGCAGCAGTCGCCGTCTCGTCCTTTTTTCAGGGAAATCGTTGACGTCCGAGATTTTGAAATGTCTTTTCTGGAATGTCCCTCGACAAAGTTTAATTCAGCACTTGTAATCATAGTCCCAAGTGCAGATTACATATTAAAAGTTCATGACGCTGCTGAAACCCTTTACTTTCAACATTGCTTTGGTTCAAATTTCCCGATTACCGTACTTCTTACAGTAGTCTTGAATTTGTCCTTGTGTTTCGACGGCGCTATTTTATCAGTCTCGAGCAAAGTAGCGATCTGGTTACGATTTCGTTGACTCGTTGGAACCAATCTTGTTCCTCACCGCTACAAGCACTAGATTTTCAGGATGATAATCTTGTTTCACTACTGTAACGATCTATTCTTGTGATCTATCGAGATAATTCTTTTTTTTGGCTCTCTGCATAGTTTGGATTGGAGGGTAGACAGTGGGTCATGAAACGCCATTATGACACCCTTCTGCAAAAATAAGTCAATGCAAGGGGTGCAAGCGTTTTGCAGCCATTACACGTATACCGTGAGTGATCTACGAGGTGAACGGCGTCTCCTGACCGACATCCAATGGCTCTAAACAGATCATTTGATTCTCTCTACTCCGAAATCTGCTTGATTCCCGTCTCCTTCATTGATTTCTGATCACTACATAGTTTTTTTTTTCAGAAACTGGGAATCAGTCGGAAGTCTTCTACTGTCTATTACTTTAAAAAATCACAAAACAATGTCGAAGCGATCCAAGTCTCTGCCACCAAGTAAGATCGATAATTCATTGTTTTCCCTAATGTTGACTGATTTTCCATTTATTTATTCAGTTAGGCTCATGAAGTCGACGTACTGTTTACAACTCAAAAACAGTAAACACATAAGCTCTGCGTAATGACTAAAATGATGTCATGTATAATAAGATAAACAGCTCACTGAATAACAAGTAAACAATTAGTAACATTTAATAGTGAGCTTGTCAAGACGAAGTTCGTATTTGTGTACAAAAACCGTTGAAAATGGCTGAATCCGTTCAAAAACTGTAAATATAACGAAATGATGTCGTAGCCCTGTTGCGAGGTGATAATCAGCTCAGAGGCTTGATCCTGCTTACAACAACGCCACAAATTCTCAATTCTCGCAACGATCCTAGGATTTCCCACCAAATTCTGCGAGCTTCCAACTTTATACCCCTTCACAGCTATTTTATGCCACCATTTCTTCTTCCATTTCGTTCTTTTTTCCTTTTTGTGAGCCAGCGAATGTTGAATCCTTTTTCTTGCTATTTTATTTGTTCAGCTGCTTATTTTTCTTAGTCTTCTCATTGCCATCCTCTGTGTTTCTCTTATTTGCTCCCATCCATGATTTTGCTGCTCAGCTTGCGACATTGGACAGACCTGAGTTCCTGTTCAATATCAAGTTGCTCGAAAGAGTAGGTAGAAGAGTAGGCCCGGTTTTGTCCCTCTAGCGCTTCCTTTTTTGTCTGGATAACTTGACCGATAGCAATCCATAAGAGGTAGGCTGATAGGCTAGAGATCCTGTCTGCTCGCAGTGAGGGCTGATTATGGTACATGAAGGAGAAGAACTTTGGAAAGAGGTGATTTTCGATTTCAAGCTGTAACATCCTTAAGGAAAAAGGGAGAAATGGAACGAAGTTTCGGGAGTATGTTTTCAAAAAACCAGAGGACAAAATCTAGTCGACAGGGCTTCATACTCCCCCTCTGTAAAATATTAAACAAGCGACAACTTAACGCCACGCTAACCTGAACACGCACTTTTTGTGATCGTTCAAAATTGGCAATATTGATGGAAGTGTTCACAGAAGTAAACGGAGTGCTATTGCGATTAAAAGGCATTTTTGCGATTTTTTCTCATGATCGATATGATATTCTTATGATTTGTTAATGTTCGTTGGATGTCAAATGAGTTGTTTCTATTTGAGCAGCCATGTCTATAGAAGAAAGTGAACAGCTCTTCGAGATACTCAAGGAGCTCAGCCCTAGAGAACAAGCCATTATTCGACCTGTACTGGAACGAGACTTGGAATTTCAACGAAGGGAAAAAGCACGATTACGGTAAGAACATGCCTTCTTTCATAGAATTGGAGGAATTTTTGTGAGAGGAAGTGGGATTTAGACTTGTTCGTGTCGAAATGACTCTTTTCTAGGCAGTTGAAATCATATGTGGAAATGGCAGAAGTTCAACCGATGGTCGTCAGAAAACGAGCGCCCACTAGCTACCCCCTTACTCAAAGCATCTCATCGGATAGTATGATTAGTCTCGGTTCGTCACGGAGTAATAAACCTAGGTGAGTACTGAGAAGGAAAGGAATTGAAAGAAACAGAACGAAAAAAGTTATCAATCAGTAATAAATTCAATAAGACCTTCGAAAAGTTGGCAAGTAATTTCCCAACATTCTTAATTTCTTTTGTGCACCTAATTTTTATTGGACTGGATGAATCCTTTTCGATCATCCGCTGGACAAAGTTACCGTGTTGGTCAGTCGATGCTCTTTCGGCGCCTATCCATAACAATTTTTTCCATCCCATTGTAGAATGCGCCCCGCGATTGACTTACATAGGGAATCGTGGTGAGGATTGAATGTGTTTCTAGCATATAATTGCTTTTGTGGAGACCAGGCTGTGCAGACAATTGCTGTGTTTGAACCATGTTTGAATCTTAGTGACTGATTACAGAATCGTGAAAGGCTCAACTGGTCCTGAAGGGTACTAAACCAGCACTTGATACCTGGCAGCGCCCCTTGGTCCTGTTCACTTCTTCCTCTTCTGCTGCAAAAGATTCGAAAGAAAGGGCTTCAGAGTAGCCTCATCAAGATTTGATTCCCAGGCCTATAGCAGTGTGAAAACGAGAGACTGCTGATCCTTCTTTGCCTAGCTGTTGATGACAGCTAGAGAAAGGGTAACTTGGTAATGGGCCGAGGCTGTCGGTATGATATTAAGGCCGATTGATCTTTTCTAATGCGCATTGTAATTAAACTTGTTTACGCAAACACGGGATCGGATTAGAAGGGCTAGGTGGGTTATGTAAAGTCTTAAGGTCTTAGGGCGTTGATTAATCCCGTCTGGGGCAGTCGCCCCCGCTCTCAAGTTCCATTCAGTATCATAGTGGCGTGTGGGGCCTAAACAATGAACTGCGATGAGCAGCCGATATACAAGTACGTTTTATCTTTTCCAGACGAGGTTCTGGCGTTTTCATTGATATCCATTAATATCTTAACGTGAGGAAAGATGCTTTTGTAAAAATCCGTTGATAATATGATACTTTCTTAACAGCTATCCTTTCAGACCAACACCGAATACACCGCCAGCCCGGTCGTGCTATCACTGCCATTGCCGTCTCGGCTTGATATTCAACGCCGGCACTCGTTGTGCACAATGTGGACGTCTCCTTTGCAATGATTGTCGTCGGGGAACCAATCGTTCGAAATGGCTATGCCACACGTGTTTTGCTCAACGGTACGTAAACTTCGATAAATCGATAAGTATCTTCTTCAGTGTGACTAGAATACGGCTAAAGATGATCGCACGATTTTTAAAAATATTGTATGGCTTCGAGATGTGAACCCTTAATCGACGATGAGCTTGAAAACGCTCCATCAGGGTATTGGTAGACCCTATGACAGTTAACTATAAAAGCTGCCATATTTGGCGTTCAGGCTTCCTAGAAATGTGATCTGAACGTGCCCGTGTCCTTGGGCGAAGACGTTGCCCCATAGGGAGGGGGAGTATTTGAGAAGACTGAATTAATTAATTAGATATGAATACCATAGTTAGGATGGTATCGGTTGCTGGAAGCAGCTAAGCTGGTGGCTCATCTGATTTACAGGTACAAGCTCCTATGAGGCTTGCGAAGCTCCCCTCCCTCACATTTGGGGGAACTGATTCGATACACTTTACCAAGTTTATCGCGCCCTTTTAAGGTTATATTCCATGTCAGGCGAGCGATGACCCTTGAAAGTAAGAGAAATACAGGCTAAGGCGGAGCTCGTGCAGTTAAGATATGCTCCTGTTTGTTTATTTACCTATTTGTTTATTTGCTTCACTCAATGTTTGTACATAACCATGGCATGAGCTTGTCACATGGTAAAAAGCAAAATAAACTACTGGATTTAAGTGTATATCAACCAGCTCCGACTATTCCATTCGTCACCATGATTTTTTCTGTATTTTCTGAATTATGATAATTCCTAAAAGTTCTGTATGGAACAACATGCATGGATCCTTGTTTTGGAATGGGCTACTCATCAATCTTGTCCTCTGTTGAGCCGTCCTAGATCTCCTTACGAGCTCATCGAGCACGTACACGCCGACGCAAATGATCCATGTCAATGGCTTCTGTCATGAGGTTTTTCGAGAACACTGAATGGTCTCTGAACGCTTCTGTTCATGCGTGTACACAATTGGCAAAATAGACCTTGTACGACGCTTGCGATATCGGTGTTCCATTTCGTTGTTATGCCGCCATCCCCAGATCTCAGTAGTAACTATCAAACAGTTTCAGCTTATGGGCTTAGCTAGCCAACTGTCTGCTATATTCCCGGAATTCTTGTAGCTATGGCTATTTGATATTTAACCTATGTGAGGGAGTGAAACCTTGTTAGCCTACATAATAAGCTGTAGAGCAGACCCATCAACGAACCTGTGTTCATCCTTTTGGGGACGATCTACTCATCAAAAGACCGACTATTGTAAGATGGAAAGATTGTTTTAGCATAAACGGAGTAGCCAATAAATTTTTGGTGGGGTTGTGATAGTACGACTTTTTGTGAATACCCACCTTTCAATATTGTCATCAACTCTGAACGCCCAATGCCCAGCATGCCTCCTAAGATGATGAATTGTCGCCGTTTCTCTTTTTCATTGAGTACGCAATCGGTGTTGGGGGAAAGTTAGGCGTTATCAGCACAAATATGTATGTTCCGAAGACCAATTTTCGCTTGGAACAAGTGATCCTTCCATCGCTCTGGCGTTATTTCGTGGGTACGACCCTCAAACTGGAGGGAATGCCTTTTCCATTGGATGATTGGAAGATTGATGTAGGCCAAAGATCCACTTAAAAGTTTTTGGCATTCTGAATAAGGTCGGATGCACGGCGTATCTGGGAGGGACACTACATGACACTCTGCGTTCTTTCACTCCATTTATTCTTTATGAGAAAAAGTTACCTATGCCAGTTGATTTAGACCTCGAACGGTATTGTACCATGAATTGGAGTTTCTGTTAAAATATTCTCTATAAAACTAACCATAATGCAAAGTAATATTGTTGTAAAATTCAATTTCCATTCGCAATCTTTTTCCTCATTTCAATTTTGAAGTTAAAAATTTTTGTCGTCGAATTCCGTCTGGAACGGTGAGTGTTTTTCTCGTAGGATTAATCTGTAATCCCTGACTTGCTGACGTCTACAATACTGGGATACAGACTAGGGTGGGCACAAATCCTTTTGCACTGCTGGTATTTTAGACGACGATGTTTTTGTATGAAACCGGTTCTAAGATAATGTATGGTCGCATTGATGGTTACCTAAGAACCCCACTGGATCGCCGGACACATAAATCCCAATAATTGTTGTATAAATATAGCAAATGATGGAATGATTATCGGAAAAACCTCCATTAGGCGTGGTCTCTTTACTTTTTTCACATAATTTAATTATCCCTTTTTTGAATAGCTACTTACCTTTGTACGCTCGCGTCACTGTAGGCTTTGCCCAAGCTGTCATGCTTTCTTACAAATGTTTATCAATATAAAGTCACATATTTCTTCTGAATACAAGGTGCGAATTGAAACAGACTGCGCCATGCATTCGATTCAAATCCAGAATAGCAATGAAGCGAGTTGAATATGAGTTCGGATCCATTGTCCATCTCATTGAGGGCAAGCTATCTGGGCGTTGGGTGCTTAAAATTGGTCCTGAGGACGTTCGTATTTTACTTATACAATGGAATTCAATACTAGATGGTCAGGAAGCAAATTTTTCCATCTCTAAAACGAGTTGTTAGGTGCAGAAAAGGAAGGCCACTGAATGGGGATTTGAACTGAGCATCCTTCAGATCCAACATTGTCATTCTTTCCTCCCTCATCAACCTGATTGACGCTAAAAGGCTGGACTTGAGTGGGACTTGATCCCGTAATTGTACAGATGCTTTGCATCATCCAACAATTTGCACCTCAGTAAACTTACGCAGTAGATTTTTTTTATTTCATGTACTTTTCTTAGGAGCTTTGTGTTTCAGTTTCCGAAGCATGGAGAAGTGCAGAGAAAATTAACAAAGCACAATGCGAAGTCACATCAGACTAGTTCAGGGTGCCACAAAAATTTACTCTCAATAGTTTTTGCAGCGAACTTCGTGCGGCATCCGGTGAATGGGTTGACGGCGGCGCTTGCGATCCTGCTGAAGTATCCGAACTTCTGCTTGCACAGCTGCGTCGGGCGGCGTTGGAGAAGGAGAAACTGGAAGAACAGACACATTCTGTTGTTCACGGTGGGTTTCTTCACTTGAAACATTTCTACCTATACCTTGGTATGGATACTCTTCCCTGTTATTTACTAGTAACTGAATTTACGCGAGAACTAATGAGATGATTGAAAAATAATTAAATTCGGTGGACAATGTTATATGTGCACAACATAATATCTAATAGCTTAGTAGTGTTCGTCTTCAAAAACGTCGTCGACGAAAGCGTATGGTCGACAATTTCGCCTTCCTTCGTTTCTCCTTATCTCACTTCCTTCTTCGTTCAAACTTTTCTTCACGAGTTTTCTGAGTCTGTCCCCAATGTCATCCAGTCTTCTTTTATTCCATTGAGACCTATCGGAGTGGGGCGATGTCCAGATAAGAAGAGGAGCTCTTATCCTTCCTTTCGAGTCTAATATCTGCTATCTTGTCTCAGGTATCGGCTAACCTTTGTATTAACATCTATTACATTTGGATTCCAGCTGATCGACTTGGAAGGCATGGGAAGCACATTTGCTAGCATGGCACCCAAGTAGGGCTAGATTGAACATGGTGAGCCGAATGCTCTCACAGACCGAACAAGGGGAGCATAATTCTGGAAGCTTGGGATGATGTCAGGTGGAAAAGCAATAGGTGATGTTGCATGCCGGAAACCTTGATAATGCATATTAGCGAGTGTTGAATGCCAACTCCAAGCCACTTACGCCATAATCTTCCCGGAAAATTCCTCATCTTATGCTTTTACGATGATTCGTCTTCCCTCACGCCAAAACATCCATCCGCCCTAATCTGTTATCGCTTCCCTGTCTAGCATTCTTTTTTACAGTAATCCGATCCCTCCTTTCCACCAACTCCTTAAATGTCATTTATGTGCATGTCTACCAAATGGATTGCGGTTCGCTCTTGTTCAATCTTTTTCCTGAGGTACTCCTCCCACACTATTTCTCCTACATCGTACCTCTGCATATTCTACTACGGAGTTATAAAGTTGCTGTACTTAAATTGCGTCATGGTTAGGGAATGGGCTCTTAGAACCAATCAGGCTCATTTTGGAGTGCGTCATACGCTTACCTTTCATCCTTAGACGTACCAAACCTTCGGAAAATGTGATTTCGGATCAGACAATGAAGGAATGGAGTTAGCCAGTATTGCATCGCCCCTTGTTAATATGGCGCCATTTTATGGTCCTAGAAAGATGGGTTAATTGATGATCTTGGGCGAGATCAGGTCCCATATCCCATCCATGAGTCATTCATTAGTTTTCGGAGCCTCTCGTCCACTGTATCGTGACCGTTCATTGAGGGATGTGGGGCAGGGTTAACCGTAAGGCTTAGAGATTTACGTCAACAAGTACCACATCCTCTCGTTACCTACAGAGATTCAAGCCCAGTCCCATCCACTGTTGGCCAAAGGACAACCACTCATCCAAGAGTTGTTCATTTCTCGTTCGCCAGTTGGCCCTGAATTATTGCATAATCTTTACATACCTCGTTTCAAATCCGATCCTTTTCCGGCACGTTCGAGTATTTTCTGTAAGTTTTCTTTGCAGAAAACTGAAACCGAATTACAGTTATCGCTTTCAGTAAGAGCTCCGATGATCTCTCGACGTCAGCTCACTCTGCCGACAATAGCTACACCAAGTCTTCTTGCCGTACCGTCAGAGTCTGATGTAAGTTTCTATAGTTCCAAGATGCACACCGTCGCATGTTCATTAATTGACATGCTAGCTTATCAACACATTAGACCATTCGAATTCTTCGATTTTTTCTCGAAATCATTTGACAGTCGATTCTTTTGTAGATGATGGAGACACAGAACGATACAGAAGACGATCGTTTCTGGGGAGGTAGTCCATCACCACGAACACCTCGAAAGAGCGGTTCGTTTTGAAACTTGGTTGTTTTTTGAGAGCCTTCCAGACTTCCTGACTATTTCATGATTATTGAGCAGTTTCTCAAATGCTTGTTCATTCCAGTCGAATCATTGAATTCTGTGAAAATCACGGCACCAAGTCCACCCGCCAACAGCATACATCCAGGTTTTAATACGAGGTAAACATGTGATTAGAAAAATAAACAGCCTACCCAGGCAAAGTAATGCTCGCGTAGCTTGATGTATATTATTACGGAGTGAATGCGGAGTCGAAATATTGGAACCAAGTCAGCCTCTTCAGGGAGTTCGTCAATAGCCCATCACCTCGTCCATCATCTCCAGTTACAAGGACAATATCAAATGGAAATGGTAGACTGCCTACGACAGAAATCGCACCGGCGACTCCGCTTTCCCGAAGTCAATGCTCCACACCAGGTAGCCCACGAACACCGACAACGTGTCCAAAGAGGTATGGTGGATTCCCGAGACGTTTAAGTGACTCGTTTGTTCCCATTCCAACATTCCATCTTACATCGTACTAACTGTGTACCGAACTGGTTATCTCCGAATTGGCTTTCATCATTTTTTNTTTTTTAAGAGGGCATCCAAAAAATAATTTCCTGAAGTGAGATGTGCATCGAGAAGACCTTTTGAGGTTCTATTTCGTTTTTGTTCCCCAGAGGCCCTCATTTTTCAAGGGATTCTGAAGAATCAATAGAAAAAACTAACTTATTTACCATGAAAAGATTCTTAGATACAACATAAAATTTCTCGCTGTAAGACTGAAATTAGAAACCTTCCGACAATCGGATTCGAATCCAATCCTTCGTCGAAAGTCGGAAGTATTATATTAACCGATTGAGATATTATATCTTACCTGCAGGTAACCATTAGGGGTAACCTTAATTCGTTGTATTCAATAACTTTGATCTCCTTTGTCCAAAAAAATCATTCAGTCGCCGGTGTTTTCTTTAAACCTCACCATGTATGAAAATGGGGCGGTCGCTGCAGTGGAAACCTTTTGAAGCACAATTCTGTGCGAAAGAGTGCATAATTTCTGACTCTGATCCCGATTAGAATATTCTTTTTGATTCCTGGGCCACAAAATGTGCCCGCGACGCGACCGCACGCTTCTCAGAAGTGTGAAGAAGCGAAAGAAATAAGTTTCTATTTGAAATGTCACTCTTTTTCCTGTATCTCATGTGTGACGACAGAATCTCGCCTGTTATTGTACTTACATTGGCTTTTTGTTTTGTTTTAATCAGCTGTTTTGCTTTGCTTGTGAATGAAGATTTGTCCTGATGTTTGGCATGGCTTTGCATGAATTTCTGGCATCGGATTCATCAAATGTTTAGTGAAAATAAGTGGTTATTGGTAAGAACTAAAAAGGAGCTCAGAATTACTATGAGCCATTTGATGAATCCCATTTCGCTTTGCAAGGAATGGCTTACTTGCATGTTGATGCTTCCTCTGTCGTCCGGGTCCCGCTCTGTACCTATGTGTAGGCTGTCCACGACTGATGTGAAGAACAGGATGTCGATGCAGTGTCCTAAGTTTTTTGTGTAAGTTTTCTCAGACTGTAGAAAAGGAGTTTTTCCGGGTTGTTGAATACGCCATGCTTTCATCTTCCACAGCAGAGTTTTCACTTACAGTAACTAGAATTGATCAGAAGGATATTGAAGGCTGTATTCATTGTACGAAACAGAAACCAGTATAGTTGACTCCCACCTCAATACTGCCGCCTGAAAAAGCTATTGTACTAGAGGCAGCATATGACGAGGGTTTTTTCTTGAGTTAAGTTTCTGCTACTACCAATGGGAGTTCACAGCGGAAGGCCAACAGTGTACCCGCGAGGAGCAGGTCCGGGTAAGGGTAAAGTACACGTTGCCCACAGCTCTTAAGTTCTGTAAGTGGAAGTGTTTTAACGACTTTGCTTAAACTGAACGTGTTCCCTAGGTGTATAATTGCAATCGGGATTTTCCCCTGCTCCAATTGCCTTTTGGCTCAGACGGTCGTTTTACAAAGGTCAATTTAGCTATTAGATTAAATTCCACTGAACTTTTGCTATAAATATGAGAGCATATTCGGTGAGCAACTTGAATACCAAAAGTTCTCATTGAGACTCACTTCTCTTTTTGACAGGGGGGACCACCGATATCTTGCTGGGTTCTGAAGAGGATATTAAATGAATTCTCGGTTTTCTAGAGAATTAAGTTCCAAAATTCCAGTCGTAATCCCTTTCATGTTCGATTGAAACCACGATGGTTGCGATCGCCATCTTTCCATTCTTGTGATTCAAATTCCATCTCATTTGCGTACACCCCCTGGGGTAGCGACAGTGAGGGGACCCAAATTTCTATTTCACAGATACAGTGAGCTATAAATCATAAGTGCGATAGAATTCGATTTCCATCGATGGATCTGCGATTTTTCCTTTCATTCTAAAGTCCTTATGTCAGGGAAAACTGGGCGATCTGATAGGTCGATTCACTTGAATGGTACCGTTTTAGGTTCAAGTTGATTCCAACGAATCGAATCAGAAGGTTGTTGGACTGACACTTTCCATCACATTAACGCATGTGACAATAAGTTTTTGAATTCCAAAAATGTCTTGCATTCCTGAAGTGCCCTGGTTTTTTTAGTCCTGGTGTCATTGCAATTTTCATCCAGCGTTATTGGAACACCGTCAGAAGCTGAACAAGCCAAGAAGGTTCAGTCCAAGCAATAGTTTCCACTTGTGGGGCATAAATTTCCGAACTTTCATTAAGCCCTCCCTCCTCCGAGACCTCGCAACGGTCCCATCTGTGGCGTATTCTACCACAGACGCTACACATACATAGAATGATAGAACAATTTTCGTATATGACCAATATGACGTTATGCTCAGGCCTATTATTGCGGGATACCATTCAAAGGAATATTCGAGATTACCATAATCTTCTGATCTGAAATGGAACGGTAACCATCGTAGTGTGCTAATCTTATCCTAGACTATCCCCGGAAAAATGTTAAGAAACTTCTTATCTTTCATTGCATTATCGCTATTCTAAGCAGAATTGCCCGGGCGTAAACCAATGTAGAGGACTGATATTGAACCTTAGGATGTTCAGAAATCGGCTTTGTACCACGTTTCGAGCTCCGTCTTTCTGGGAGCTAGAGTTAAAGCCTGCTAATAAGGTCAACAACGTTTTTGGGTTGGTACAGTGAGAAGCAGTATCATCGAATCTCAATTAGCGCCATAGCAGGGGGAGGGGGCCACTAAGGAGATATGGAGATTCGCTGCAGGAGCGTAGAAAAAGGTGGAAGGAAGGAGGAAGATTTAGCTGAACTGGACTCAAAGTAAAGGCTACGAAGTTCCGTACTTACATGGCACCACGTTAGCGTGGGCATTTCCAGGAGGATAGAGCTGAAGAGATAACGGGATGTTCTAGCCCTACCGTAAACATATCCCAAACATCCAGTCCTAACATGCCTTTACATCGTTGATCGCTGTAGGTGGAGGAGCTTCCCAAAGCATCTGCTATTCTGTTCCCATAGACAACAAGTATGTCGCTTAATTATCTTCAGACTCCTTTCTTCAGGCTCTCTTATGCTTTTCGATAAATCTTTGGGTGATGAGTAACGATTGAAGGTGAAATTCGGACGACCTGATTCAAAATAGCGAATTCAACGAGGTAGCCCAATTCCAATGGAAGAGAGGTCAATTGCCGTAGCGAGGAGGGAGAGAACTATTCTCATTCACGACCTTTTTTTTTGTTAAACGACTGTTCAACTTCAAAAATGTAGGTTATCTTAGATGAGCAGAGCTTCATAGTTCGGTCCCAGCAGGCGATAGCGCTTGTGAGTGGTTAGATAGGTATCGAATTCGATTGTTGCTTAATTACTGTCTTCCAAGGTTACCACTCAAGTTCTGGCGTCACTTTATTCTTCTTTCAATAGTAAAGGGTGTCCCAAAGGGTCAGTGATCAAATCAGCAACAGACTTAAACTATCGCTCTGAACTGCTCTGTGGCGAACATGGACAGCACGATCTGACCAACTTACTCCTTTGAATCTATACGTATAGCACCCACGGTGGTTCTGGAAAGGCGATAACTGTTAAGAGCTTACCCTGAAGAAGTAGTCAATCTTAGCGAGTTTCCTTGACTATGTTTTTTCAACGCCCTAATATCTTTTATCGGAGAGGCGTATGAAGCGGATCAACCCATAAAAATCGGTCCTATGTAGTGATTCTTACCTGTTCTAGAGGACGGAGCACGATGAGGCAGAGCGTTCATCTGGGAAAGCTGCTGGAAACTGAGAGATCTCTTGTTTTTGCTGCATTTACGCAAAATTGGAACCCAGTATGTGCTTTGCGACACGAACTGTAGCATCGAGTCCTACTCATACTTTTGCTGAGCAGTTCTTGATTACTTTTCTGTAAGCCAACGCATGGCGCATCCGAAGAAGTAATTTCCACTGTTACTTTACTGGTTTGCCCATTTACCTCTATAAAATGCCAGTGTCGCTCGGTCAGGAAGTGATTATTGAGTTTTTTTGTTAAAAAGAAGCAAAATTTTCGACCGCGAACGAATTTGCAAAATGTGTTGGAGGTATGGGGAATTGAACCCCAGCCCTCTCCCATGCTAAGGGAGCGCTCTACCACTGAGCTATACCCCCGCCGTGCACCCAGGAAGATCTCTCCTTTGCTTTCGTGATGAATGGCCACCGAAAATAGTTTTTCGTTGAGCGTCCAAACTTTCTTCTGAAACAATTCTCCTCTATTATCTAAAAGAAACTAGAACCAGAGCAATTTTTCAGCCATTCAAGAATCCCTACGATCAGCAGTGATAACCTTCTGCAGCCAATCGATACTCGGCCGAGCAGCAGACGACAGTCAGCCGCTGTCGATGGTACGTAATTATTCGAGGTAAAGACCAAACAAGGACATTACATGGCCTATTTTCGCTTTTTTTTCAGGGAACCATATAACTGAAAAAAGCTGTGGTGCCGGTGGATGTCGGGATGACCATTACTCTGGCGGCCGAGGTGAGCGACAGATTCCAAAGTGTTTTTCTTTCCTTTTGTTGACGTGGCCACACGTCTGGCTCCATCTGGGTCGACCCATCAACCTATGTACGTTTTCGTAGATTATATGGGAGGCGCCGACGAATGAATGGGTGAGGGTCGGTTCAACGGTGGGCGTGAACGTTCAGCCACCAAATTCATTTCATCTTTCTCAGATATGGTTTATCTCATTTCAACCCGCTTTTTTGCCACTTCGGGCTGCTGAAAACTCTCCTTTCAAGTCCTGGGAACTGGTTTCGCCTTTAAAAGGGATATCCCTTCAATGCCTTGTTTTTTGATCATGTTTTTTTTCCAAAATTGACTGCTAGCGTTAAAGGTCTTATGACTTGGTTGAAAGCGCTCGGTAGCCTCTCAAATAATCGACCTCCTGTTTGACGTTCGATCTCCCCGGACTGTATGACATCATGTTTGTTTAGAGGAGGAGGTGAAAACACTGGTTAGAGCGTAGGCTGGTGTATAAGGCATTCTATTGGCCTGTCACGTAGTCATCTGCTCATTTCTCAATGTGAGATGTATATTGTCGCATCCAGATGAATGTAGTAATTTCCTATCATTCCATTCCTCTGGTGTTCCCCACATATAGTTTTCCGAAGTTTTTCGGTACTTTTTTGAGCTTTCGTAGATTTCTCTTTTGATTGCCAAAGTTGAAGGGTAACGGTAGTTTGTGTTGTGCGATGGGGAAGTGCTCGAAAGAGCCAGTCGTGAACTTTTTCAGCGTTTTCGATTTTTTTTTATTTTCTTCATTTTACTAAGAGTATCCATTGAGCATCTTTCTTCATGGGACAGGTAGGGCTACATATGAAACTTCCATTGGCCCTCATAGGTGTCCAAGGTTTAGAAGAACTTGATGTAGGTTCAAAATTGATTTTCACTTCATTCTTATGGTAAACCGGATGGTGAGTGGCACTCATCGCCTATTCATTCGTCTTTTATTTGTAATGCTTAGTCATTCCTGACTTATAAGACATGGGAGTGTTCCCTGAGATGGATAGTTTGTGATGGTTCCGCTCTACGAATAACTCTTCGCTCAAAAACATTTATTTACACTTTGGTTGTTCACTGATTCTTGTTAAAGTTTATGTAATACGTTATGCTCCACATATAGGACGCCCAGAGGTTGAACTTTTCTTTCACAGAACACACCTGAGCAATTCGGGTTCATCCCCCCCTCCCCTGCCCCCTGCTTTCCTGTGTCGGCAATTTGGGCAACGTGTTTTTCTGTCGCCATGTAGAGGTGGTGGCGTCCGTCTGAAGCGTCAGCGTAAAGATTATCGCGGAAGATTACTTAGTCAGTCAGGTTTGTCTCCTGGTTTGTCATCGGAATCGACTTTTTACCCGGAGATCGTGTAGATTAACCGCCATTTGTGATGGCACCAATTTTCCTTCGGTGAAAAAAATTACTGGTGAACGAAATGATTTTTGTCGTCACTGTCCCATATTCGGGTGAAAAGCAATGTTTATTCCTCGCTATTCTTTCTCAGTACCTTTTTTCTTTTCTTTGTATTTATTTACTCAATAAGCTTTATCCAACCTGTATTCATCTACTTTTTGCCTAGTTTTACTTTACAAGAGTATTAGATACACCACTCACCCTCAGTTTTACCTTGAGCTTTCAAATCTGCTACTTTCAAGTCATTTCTGGCAATTCTTCTGTTAGGTTCCTAAGAGTTTCATGAGTATATCGATCTGTTTGAGTGTTTGTGTACATTTTTACTGACTAAATTTCACACTTGAGCATTTTACTTGGCCAAACTTTGGGTCACTATCTACCGCCAACGAAGTCTTTGCTTTTTGTGTGGCTGTCAGTTGAAGGATGAGCTGCTTAGTAGAAGAAAATCCAGAATTGAATCATAACTGGTTATCATGAACTATTCTTTAGTTTGCTTACTTATTAAAATGTCTCTAAAAGAATTTGATGATCGACACTTCCTTTAATTTTTATCATTCACGATATAATAATGGGATCGCTATCTCACAAAGTTGACGAGTTATGGACAAAACTAGGGAACGTCATACTCTGCCATATTGGAAATAAATATTGAAAAGAAAATAAAATTTTGAAAGAAAAGGTGAAATGTTTTTAAGTAATATAAAAAAACGGATTTTTTTCACTTTTCTACGGCTACAAAAATTTTCTCTCTTGATGATTCTTTACTATTTCAATCTGTTTTTTGAAGACTGAAAATTAATTTTCCGAGCTGCTACACACATGAATTTTACTTCTTGATCAATAACTTTTCCTTACTCATTGGGAAAATTGATCCATCATGATTATATCTGATCAATATCAGATATAATCGCAAAGAGAACCTAGCAAAAACTGCTAGAGAGAAAGAAAAGAGACTAATCTCGGACTCTTCCCATCCAGGTCTAGTCTTTATGAATTCGTTGGTTTCAGAATAATGGAAAATCGCGTGGTCCAGGAAAGTTGGTATGCCTGAAGATCGGCAACATCCCCCACGTGTAAACGATTGCGCTATCAAAGTTTTTATGTTCCCAGAAACCGGTAGCTCAGCGCCGACGTGATTGCTATTGTATGTTGCTTAAACGAGTACAAGTTCGTGTCGACACTTGGCGAGGATATTTGCTACGGGGGGAGGCGAGTGAAGAGCTGTTCCCAAGCTGGTTTTATATCCTACAAAGATCAATCCCTGACGAGCAAACACAGATGCTATGTGATGTTGCGCAAGCTATGCACTCCCAGACGCTCCTTATGGATTATTTTGATTGGTCAAACACCCACGAAATTGGCCGGGAGAATCGCCTATAACTGGCCTATCGTCCAATTGTGAATTCATGAAATTTCGTTCTTTCCCTTATAGGGCCTACCACTATTCTTATCATTAGAGCTATCGATTGATCATCACTTCTCAGCTGATGAAGAGCCTTTTTTCTGATTTTCATCTCTCAAATTTCCCTAAACTATAATTCTTCTTTGTTTTCGGATGCCTTTTCAAACTCTACTGCGATTTCCTACCTCTCTTCTTCCTTATTCTTATTCTTCCTTCGATAGATTCGAGGGATTCTTGGCTCAAAACAGATTTTGATCTTTCTGATATTCTCTTTTTTTCGATACTCAGTATTTATTGCTCTGGCTATTCGTTGGCTTGTTTGAGTTGCAATGAAATCATCCATGATAATGGCAGTTCCAATGATAACTTTCGAGCTTTGTTTGCTTTATTTGAAGAATAATATTCATTTTTTACTCTCAAATATGTAAATTGAAACAGTTACCTTTGCATGCCCTATTCTGGAGACGCGCCATGCATTTGACCATTGGTGGGATCATGGTTTTATTTCAATGTTTGTTCGGTTTATGTATAATGTGGGCTCATCGGGCTTTGTCCATGTACAGATTTACCATTTTGTGCATTTATATCCTATCAAATGAATTTGATGCGGATTAGTCTACAATAGCGGTAAAGAGAGGCTGCATGAGATGGGGTTCCCGAACTCTGCCCATGGTAGCAGCGCGAGTTTCCGCTCCCACTCAGTATTTCGAAGGAATGTGCTTCCAAAGGACTTGGACATGTATTCAACAGAATTTTAGCTTGGAACGTGACCTACAACTTCATGCTTGTGTAATGTAGCTAACATTGATAGGTCATACAATGTTGAACATAGTGGTTTGAGACTATCATACAAGTTTGCGGCTAACTAGATGCTATATGCACTCCATATGGGCGAAAAAAGGATAATAAACAGTTTGGTTCTTGCTTCATGTGCCCGTTCACTATTCATCATATGCCGGCCAGTCGGTATTTTACTGGTCTACAATCGTTGCCCTGCCTATTTACTGCTACCTTGTTTTTATTTGTGAAAAAGACCGCTCTGCTATCCGTGCCTATTCCATGTTCTTTCGCTTTTCTTGCTGGAGACCTACATTCATACCGCATTCCTTATGAAGAGCGGGATGGTTTTGTGCCAGTAATGTCTAAAAAATTTCTTTTTGTGTGTTCTTGAGCGGACCTTTTAGCGTACCAGAATAAATAGATAAATTAACAGGGTACAAACAGAGCTAGGATGAGGTGTTCAATGAACCTGACCGGAATTTGATCTTATGGGTTAAGTTTGACTGGTGATTTCGATCGGCGGGCCTTTCACGTCCTTGGTTCTCAACGACTTCGTTCGGCGTGCACGTAGAAGGCTTCTAACATCTTCGAAACCTATTGAATGGACTTGTTGCTCCAGTCATCGATCTATTAATTTCATATCTTCTGAGCTTCCTCTCACATTTTTGTACGAACTATTTCATGGGATTATGGGAGTGGGAAAGTTTTTGAAAAATCCGCTGCTCCTGAGTCGGTTACGCGAATCAGAGATGATTCTTGAAAGATAATTCCTTATTATGTCAGTTTCAGCCCATTCTGCTGGACAAGTGCACCACCAACATCAGCAACATCATCAGCAACTACAACAGCCTCGGTCGTCAGCTCAGGACTATCGAGCCAGTAGATCTCGAATAGCAAGAGACGTCGTTCCAGGAATGAGGCCGAACATGCCATCGGTAAGCAGATTATCGCTATCCTCCTGTCTGGAAAAATGACGTCATCGAAAAATAGAACGAAAAGAATTCTTTCTAGAATTCTCATCATATTGACGGCATCTCGAAAATAATTAAAAACATTTTGAAGTTATAGAAATAGTAAAGAAGGATCTCAGAGCAAAGATTATTTAATGACTTGTTCAGCTCTTAAGGTTTATGTTCTTGATTCGAACCAATTTACTTGAAAATTAACATCGAATCGACTTTTTAATTCGCTGCAAACAACTAATTTACTTTTACTCAATATTTTCCAAATTTCGCTTCGAAAAACCATTTTGAAGAACTAACTGATAGTGTCGGCCATGAGGTGCCAATGAGGCCTCAGGCTTCCATGTCAACAATCCTATCTGTGCTGCGAATGCGGACAGGGCCTTCGCACGACTTCGAGGGCCACGGTGTTCACTTTCTGAGCGGTGGTGCCTTTTGACCCAAATTCCGAATCAGTATGAATCGAATTGTGAAATTCGAGAACCATTCCACTTTGAAATGCGACTTTCACTTGGTCCGTTTTTCATTCGAGTGTAATGTTGCCCAAGCTGGTTCGCCAAAATTCAGGATATAAGAGTTCTGTAAATATTTTTTTTCGAGTCACGAAATCATCGAGAAGGAGCCCCTCAACTTTCACCTTTCCGGTTTGATTTTCACTTTTTCAGTCTGTTTCCGAAACGAACATGTGGCAAGGTTGCCAAGGCGCTAAACCAGCACCAAGTGCAGCGAGATCAGGTCCGATGAAGAAGCCAGTCGATGGTCCACCACCACCATCATCGTCATCGAGCAGCGGTATGAGACCAACGATAGATGATTACGCATCCCGACGAGCTCGGTTTCGGTCACAGGACAATGCCAGTTCGGTGTCTAGTTCCAGGGTGAGCTTGAAATTCATTGAAGCTAAATTTTGGTGGCTCTGGCGTAGTGGGGCCTAGGCAAGGAAAATGGAACCCCATCGGTCGACGGTGCATCCTATAGGGACTGCTGAATAGACTACACCCTTCAATTTCCGCTCACCACGACGTGCGCGAACTCTGGCCGACTGAAAATTACCTTTTCCAGGGTGATCGTACTGAAAAAAACCTTTTCCAGGGTGATCGCCTAGATGTCATCAGCTGTGATTCACGACGATCATCGGGTATTTCGTTACCGTCTCGCTCAACAAGCCAAGACCAACGCTCGTACAGTAAGCAGTTCGAGGCACAGTTGAAAAAATGGCTAACTACTTTAATTTACTCACCTGACTCTATGAGCCCAAATCAGCACTTGCGACTTCAATGGAAGACTTTTTCAGAGGGCCTCCATGTCACTCCAGCCAGCAGTCGCGACTCACTTTCTGTTGCCTCTCTGGCTACCGAAGTGTCGACAGATTGTTGTACGAAATCTAGTGTGGCGGTTAGTTCAATTGCAACTTACTGAGGGTAATCAAAAGTTAATAAGGTGGTCGAGAAATTTCTGGGGCACCCAGTTTTTTGTTTGATCAGTTTTGGAGGTTGCCTTTCTCACATATTATTTGTTGGTGTTTGAGGTGTGATGTGAGGTGCTTGACTGAATTTCTTAGAGCTAAATTTGCGCCCTTACCGTTTAAAATTACTGAAATGTAATATAGTTGCAGTCGCAAGCTACCTGTGGTTCGGCGACAACGTTCCTTGGTGAAATACAACTTATCCTATCCTATGATATTTTATCCGCATGTATCAAAGTGCATATCATCCAGTGTCAATCATTACCTCATTTTGGTAACCATAAACCAAATCCTTATGTGAAGGTGAGTAGGATTCATTGGATTCCTCATATTTTGAAGGTGTACGGGTTGTAAAACATGAACCATAAACCGAATCCTTATGTGAAGGTGAGTGAAATTCATTGGATACCTCTTCTTCTGATGGTATACGTGTTGTAAAATATGAATAGAATAGAATAGAATAGAATAGAATTGACCCTTGCATCGTAGCTACGAAATCCACTAAAACGTAGCGTAAAGCTCATTTTTTTCAAATTTTCAATTCAACTTTAAACGATTTTAGGTCATTTTGATGCCAAAAGATCCAGATACGGGTTCAGTCTTGAAGCAGAAGACAACACCCCGTAAAGGCGAAGTCAATCCGGTCTTCGATCAAATTCTCCAGGTTTGTAGTTCACAGTAAGCATCACCGATTCATAAATTATCAGCTCAGATTCACTGGTTAATTTACTTGCTAAATTCAACTTTCTTTATAATTTATTTATCTCTCGAGTTATTTGATTGCTGTTGTAGTTGTTTGACCATTTATTTGCTTATTTTTGTGCCGTTACGACGACAAACTGAAATCATGGACTGATTTATAAAAGACGTAATAAGAAGCTTCGGAAAAGTAGAAACAGAAAAAGCGAGAAACTAAAATTTAGTAGTCAAAAATAATAATGAATAGCTAATTTTTCAGCGAATCTGACTAAAACGTTGTTTACAGTTTACTCGGATATGTAGATCCGAAGTGGATCAGTACAGTCTGAAAGTGTCTGTATGGCATAAGGACCTTCTAAGTCAGAATTCACCTATAGGAGAGGTAACGTTTTCGAAACTTCCAGATATCCCTACAATTATTTTAGCTCCATTACCGTAATCGTATCTTTCAAGACGGTAATATCGTTATGGGATCACGATTGGGATTCCCCGAATCCCATGTGGTATCAGTTGGAGGCGAAGTCGGTTGGTCAGTGCTTGTGTGATGTGATTCGATCCGTGTGCTTAGCACAGGGAAAGGTGCGGAATAGAAATCGAAAAAATACGTAAATTCAATAAATAATATGAGAAAATTCTTTTTACAAGGTGTAAGGATCTTGAAAATTTCATATTTTTTCAGTATTTCATTTTTTATTTATTTTTATAGTTGTTTTATAATTTTATTTTTTATTTTTCCCAGTATGGCAGTATTTTCATCAGTACGAAATAGCTTGTCTGACAAAGTTAGTATGTAAGAGAACGGAAATAGATTTTTTAGAATTTTGAAATAACTGATATTTTTTTGAGTAATTTCTGATGTCTGCTGGGGACTGTTTGGACTGTAAAAATAACAAATAAAAAGCTGAATATTAAAAAATCATATGTTAAAAAATCGTTTCTGCAGTGAAGTATCCAGAAATTTGGATAAAAGCATCTTGATAATTTTCCAATTTTTATAATTTTAAGCTTTTGAGCTGTTTACTAGCTGCCTTCAGACTGATGCATGGCTTAAGCATTGCCTCGACGACTAATCCTTTCCGGAAGAAAGTTTTTTTTCCAGAGATTCTTCTGTCACTTGTAGGAAGGAGAGAGTTTTGCATTGCGCCATGAATTTGCTTCCCTTTCTATATAAACCTTCTTTTTATAAATCAACTGTTTTTTCAAAGCTCTTCTCGAATTTTTTTCTACGAATTTTTTCCTCTCTTGCAGCTACTCCGCACCTTTCCCGTATGGCATGCGCGCTTCTTCTACGCTTTCACCGTGTCTTTCTCTTAAATGTTCGTCCACAATTTCAGCAAGTCCTACCGGATCCGTGTCAATGGAAAATGGCGAAAGCGAACGTTCACATTCGCCTGACGTTCTCTCTGTGGGATCGGGAGCGTCGGATCGGTCCCCTCTCACTGCTGTTACGAGACGCGCACTTTTCCGAAATGCCTCAAGCTCTAACAGCACATCGACACGCAACTCTCGTGGCGTCCGCGTAAGTCACCCTTTCATTTAACCAAGGTGGGCTCATGGGTCAAACAGTGAAGAGCAAGGGTTGCGCCATGCATTTCACTCTTACTCAAAATTTCTATGTAACATATTGACGGCTTTACTGACCTTATTGTTGTTTTAAAGAGGTATTTATTGCAGAAAATTCTGCATTTATTTGACCCCTGCAACTCTCGTGGCGTCCGCGTAAGTCACCCTTTCATTTAACCAAGGTGGGCTCATGGGTCAAACAATGAAGAGCAAGGGTTGCGCCATGCATTTCACTCTTACTCAAAATTTCAATGTAACATATTGACGGCTTTACTGACCTTATTGTTGTTTTAAAGAGGTATTTATTGCAGACAATTCTGCATTTATTTGACCCCTCCCGTCCTTCACGATCCCTACGAGTAATGGCTTAATTGCCACTGAGGAACAAAATTAGACTGTTAAATTTCTTGTCTTCGATTGATAATCTTCTGGAAATGTGTAGATGGCACCTCAAGTTCTTATGAATCTACTCCCAAAATCTACTTAGGGGGCAGAACCGCTCTTTCTTTCTGGCCGAGTTTGTACCTACTAATATGAGCTTGTTCAGTCAACACCCCTCCTGGCGATATGTCGCACTTTTTTGCTTCCTTCTGTTTGTTTACTAATTTAACCAATTTCCACTCACTAGCTCCGTCTTCTGAAATTTCAGTTCTTATCAGAGAAGTATTAGAATAACTCAAAATTTAGAAGTTTCCTGGAAATTCCTGAGGACCCGTAGTCAGTCTACAGTAGTTTCCGTAAAGTTTTTTGTGACAGGTATGATGTGTTGGACAGTTGTGAATCTATGAAAAGATATTGTCTGTGGCTGTATTGCTTCGTGGTCCCTGAAGATCTCAAGCTGTTTCTACTTGGGCCTATTTCGCTAGTCAGTCCTATGTTTGCCGTTGACTGATCGAAGCCTCTTGATAGTGATATCAATCGGGGAAAGATCGAGCTGTGCAAGCTAATAAAATCCCAACGACCTGCACGCTCGATTGCAGAAAAGATCACATTCTAACGAAATCGCAGAGTAAAGCTATTGATCTGCACAAGTCGGTCCTACCCAAGCAAACCGAGATTAACATCCCTACCCTTCCGCTCGATTAGTGGGTAACGGATTCGTCTCAGTGAACAAGAACTCAGTTTTATATCTTTTAAGGTCTCATAAGTATAAGCATGGGTATTTGAATGCAATTAAAACTCTAGGTGGTAGTAGAATAAGTGGCGCCCAATATGTGCGCTGAATCGGTGTTCATTCTATAGTTACAATACTTTTATTTGCCACTGAAATCGCCTGATAGAACCTCCATAACATCTTGCAAATTCTTAAGGGCTGGAAATTTTGATTCTATAGTTTGGTGGCTCAACAGTGTGTCCTAAACACAAAACTTTTTCAACTTCTCTCTTGCTTTAACCTCGGCATAGTTGTTTATGATTGAAATAATTTTGTGCCGTGCGAGGTTCCTAGATGGACAATTTCTTAAATATTAATATTAATATTATTTACAGAACTCTTGATTTTTCTCCCTTTCATCCTCGGCGTTTGCATCACGTGGTGAAGGGTGTGGCTTTCCGATATGTTAGCGATGATTTTTCCGATTAAATGCTTGATTGTGATCGAATCCATTAATCTCGGCGATCTTTATGGAATGTATCAAGGGAACATTCTTTAGGGAATCTTTGAGCACCCTGAGGGAACTAGTCGGATCCTACAAATAATGGCGTCCTTGTGTAAAGGACCACTGATCCTACTCTCTATAAGGGAGGTGTAGGGTGCTCGTAGGTTCTGACCATGAGAGTGGCGCATCCTTAGTTTACGTGGTGCCCCGGAAGGTCTCATACTTCAGTATGGTTTGCTCTGTGGGGTGATTTGAATTGCTTCGATTTGGTGGACTATGAAGAAGCGAGTCCTGCCGAAAAGCTTAAATTTTCTCATGTCCCAGCTAGGTACATAGAGCGTCCAAAGTTTAGAGTTAGTCGAAAAAGGTGGCTACTTCACAGTAATATGCCAATCGCTTATATAGATAGGAATCCTCGTTCAAAAACCCTTGCGGAAAAATTTCGAGAAGCTCCCTTGCTGACTTTGCAACGGTTCTGCAATATGTCCGGGTCGTTCATTCCTAAACATTAATCAAATGGAGACGCTTTAAAAAACAGATGATGTATGACCTCGATTGGCATTCTGATGTCGTCTATCACAATACATCTTGACAAATGGATATTGCATCATAGAAATGAACAGATTCCTATCGTATCATTTGTCAACATTTGCAGGACCATATATTCAACATGAGCCGCATACAGCAGGCAAAAAACTCTATATCTTGGGTGTGCTTTGCAATACCGCTTCGATGTAATAAATGAACCAGGAGATTTCTCATAAAAGAACAATGAAAAATGTGCTACAGACTTTAAAAAATATTTTTCTGGCGTTGGTCAATCACTGAAGCGCCTAAGCATTTGATTCTTTTCAAAATCGTGGCAGCGTTTGAAAGCGTATTATGCCCATACAATGACTTTTAGTACCACGGTACGTGTGCTGGTCAATGTTTATTCCCTTAGATATAACTGATACCAGTGAAGCAAGCCCACAGGAAAAGCTTCTGTTCTCATGTGTGGGTATCAATCCTAAGACATTGGCAGTGGTAGCTGCTTTACTTGTCACTACCATACCCATATCAACCTCTTAGACAACCTTGATAACAGGAGAATAGCGGATTTCCGTAAAATCAGAGCCAATGTTTCAGAAGGCTGTATTTCAACGAAAAGCCGATGGAGCGGAGGAAGAGCGAGAGTCGTCAATTCGATCAAGTCGAAAGCCAATGGAATTGGAGCACGACATTCCCAAAACAAAATCTGAACGATCTCCATCTAAGGTACTGTAGTACAACATCAGAAGGATACAGCACGCTCAGGCCTTTTTAGTAACCTTCGTTCCAAAAGGTTTAAGACAAAATCAATCAGTTTAGCGTAGAATTGGACGAACGTAGTTTCCCCACTTGCTTTTTTCCTTTTTTCCACGGTTTTTCGGGGAAACTTCAAGTGGCTTTGACTGGGAGGAGGGGTGGGGGGAAGGGAGGGGGGTGTCCTCTGCAGTTCCTTCATGAGAGTGTCCTGCGAGAGACAACTATTATTATTTTAGATATGCCATAGTCTAAAAACAGCTGCTTCTTTTTGATTCGGACAATTTCTGAAATTACATTTGTTGCTGCTCTTTGAAATTCAAATTTATATTTCTAGAATGCTTATTCGTTTGATCAGTATCTCCTGTGATATTTTTGGAATCTAATTTAATGAGCTGATAGGATACAAATAGAATTAAACCGGTATCTGTATAAAATTTTGATTTTCTACATCAAATATTGTCATAATGATATTGATATCAATGCGATCGCAACTATTTTTTNTTTTTTACGAGGAAAGATTCTTTTTGTTTCCTTTTTCGACTTCTTTAATGGAGCTGATATCTTTATTTCGCACGATTTTAGTTAGCTTTCTTTCTGTTTCGCGAGAGCTTAGCTTATGTAATATTCTTCAGAAGCCTGAAATTGAAGATCAAGCTACAGACTGGACCATTTGGGTATAAAACTATTGGTCATGTAGTATTCAATGACTATGAACACAGACGAGGTTAGAACTTTTCTCACCAAGTCAATCGATTTATTGATTTTACGCACGCTTGCACGATCTGGTCGATATTTCCAGGGAAAAGTATTCTCCAGCCATGCACCTGTTTATGTTGTTCTTCATGGAAGAAACTAATCGACAATCCTTCAATACCTATTGAAGCTGAATTACCATTGATCCTTGAAAATAGATAGTTAGTTTCATGAAATGATGTTGGAAAAAATCAGGACCACCATTCTGATTTTGCCTTTTTTCAGATGTATGACAGAATTTTATGTATATAGAAACCTAATGTACATTGCTGGTGTTTTTTGAATAAATTTCTGGTTGGTTATTTTTGGGATCGCTCCGGAGAACCCAGGGATATCGCTCCTGTTTTGCGTGACTTTTCTTGCCCTAATTTCGAGTTTCCATTATTTTTATTGCTTATTTTTACTTTCATCCCCTAGATTACTGTAAAAATTCCATGTGAAAATAGTCCTCGTCCAAGAACCTGTAATTTATGCCGGTTTTACGCATTTTGGCCTCGACGATCTCGCTGGCTCACAATGGGCCGATTGGTACAATTGAATAGTAAGAAGGTCAAGTGAGTAGTTCCGACGACAACATTCTACGCAGAGTGTTTTCACTTTTTTCTTTCCTCGCCCCACCTTTCTCTATTTCCGTTTTTTCTTGATTTTCAAGTCTTCAAGCCTGCTTTCCTCATAGATTTCCCTCATTGCTAGACCATGCTCCCTGCTATGAACTTCCTTTTGCATTCCTAGCATTCCTTTTGCACTCCTTACCTTTTCGAAGACTTGGGGACTTGCTCGTGTTGCAATTTCACTACTGAGTGGTTTCTTTGAGTACTAGTGAGGATCAGTTTCAAACGCTTAGCCCCATAGCCTCAGCAACTCTAGAAGGAGCTTGTCTAAGCTCGTTCCTGGAAGTTTTAAACTCTGTGCCGTTTGAATAATTATATAATGCCGGCAGTACCACGCCTGAAGTATTGCCTGATAGGTTGGTTCTCCTTCAACTAAACATAAATCATGGCTTATACCATAGAGGCCAGGAGGCGTTTGCAGAAAAATGGAAAAAAGTCAAAGGCAAGGATCAGATTGAGGTTAGCCCAAACAAGACACCTAGAACGTTTCTAGGAGGTGTAAGGTAGACTAAGGTGAACGCGAATAAAAGGGAATCCCCAAACACCCCTTAAGATGGTCTATGGATCTGCAGAAGTGAAGAAAACCTACCGAATATAGAAAATAGAAATATTTGCGGCGGGCCGGGAGGGAGAAAAGAGTTGGGCGGAGTCTAAATCAAAATTTCACAGTTATGTGCTGCTAAGCTCACGGTCCCTATATTTTTGCAATGTTAGTGTGCTTGAAGTGTATCTATTCTAATGCCTTGCTCCAATCTTGTAGAAGTAACTTCAAATGAAAAAATAGAAATAAAATGAAAGTTAATAAGTAGATTTGCCCCTAATTGTGCTTTCTGAACCTACTAGACGTCATAGCTGTGAAGTATTGCGAAATAAACTTGCAAAACCGCATTGGACTTATTCAATCTCCCTTGGTTAGTCTATTCCATTTGAAATACTAATAAGATAGACGCGGAAACCGGTCACACCTTAGTCATTGTCACAATCTAATAGAAAATTTGATGGAATTCTCGAAAAACTTTTGAAAATGCTGATAAACAGGTTCAGAAATGAGAAAACGGAATGTCCGCTCACTTTTCATTTTGATTTGACTCAAATTCTTCTGTGTTTTTCTGATCCTCCAGTAAAATCATTCACTGCTTGGCTGAGATCATTAAGAGGCTATCTTCGTATCTATAATCATTGATCTTCATCTTTATTTACTTATTCTTGGTTTCTGAGTTATTCCAAGGCCTAATTGTAATCCGTTGACTTGGATCGAGCCCATCAAACTTATACCCTGCTTACAAGAGGACGTTTAGGTTTAACTTCGGTTTTCTGATTCTTCGGCTCATCCTGACTCCTTGAAGTCACCACATTCATTCTTCTTCTGGATTTCGGAAGTTAAAAATACAAAAGGGTAGGATCTCAAGTCCCGATATAACTTTGAATGTACTTTTGGTACCCCTTTCACCACACTCAAATTGTCAGCGAACTGGCACGACCAAGTGAGGAAGAAAACCAGATTGTTGAATTTTCCTCAGTAGACCGTCTCATGATTACTTCATAGTCGCAAAGGTCGTTCAATAGTGTCAGGCGATGCTGGTAGCCCTAACCAGTTTGGTTTCATTAAGTTCAACATGAAGCAACCTCATTTCACTAATGCTACTGTCACGTTGTTTTTTAGATCCAAGGGTGGAACCAAGACCATTCATTTCAGGGACGGGGGAACCTCAGAGTGATTCTGGAAATGTCTTCTTTCGCATCAGTTTTGATGAACTGGTAGCAACGAAAAGGTCCTGTTTTCTCTTTGATCTTTGATCCAAAGGCAAATTCTCCGTTTAAGGTGCACCTTCGAATATATCTAGTGACCCTTGCTCAGATTTCATTTGTTCATTCGCTTTATCTGTTTTATTTTGAAGTTCAAATGCCCATAATGAGAGCATATATTCCGCAATAATCGTTGGTCAATTTCTACTAAGATGAACCGTGCATTCTATTTTCATCCTGAAGAGTGAAAGCATTTGAATGTGCATTCACTCTATACATACTTATAAGTTATAAGTTACTACTTAGTTCATACTGGATACGAAGGACCAGTTGGTGTAGACCTAGCAATTTTTCCTTTTCATAAGACGGTATCAATTTCTGATGTCAATTTATCGGCCAGTAGGGTTTGAAGGGTCGGGTTGACCTGCTGATCTAACTTGGTTCTATGCAAAATTTGATCCTATCTCCCCTCTTGCGTGAGGTAATGGCGCCTCCTACTTTACAACTGCACTTCTAAGTATATTGTGAAATAAAAGGCAAAGTTTACGGCGTTGGAAAAAAAATGTAGTAAAGTAGAAGGCTGTGGAATTAGATTAATACTGAGTAGTATTAGGTAATGAATAACAAATAAAAATAAATAAATGATAAATAGATAATATTCAGTAATAAATAATTAAATATGTTGTGAATCAGATGAATAACTAAATAGCAAATGAATAATAGAAAATAATAACCAAACAGGCCATCCGTGAATGAATGAATTGGTGTTCCCTAATGACGCTTCACATCTGACTTTTATCTGAAAAAGCTGGGAAAGAGTTGTGAAAGGCAGCCGTGAATGGTTTCCGTCTTCGGACAGGCCTGGTACCGACCTGTCCCTCATGGAGAGTATGAGGGCTAGCTGCCAACTGAAGCTCGCTCTTTGGAAACCGGGCTTGAATAATGCGCCGAAAGGGGTGATTTCCTGTTTGGGATTACACCTAAGTCAGGGATCATTAGCCATGTGGCGGCAGCCAGTTACGGATCCCATAAATCCACACCAGGTAAAAGCTGGAATCGATGAATGTGTGGGCAGGCTGGCTGGCTGCTGCTCCTGCTGCCGCTATTGTTGCAACGGCGTCGAGTGTGTCGGGTGTCGGGCTGCATCGTCGTCGTCGGGTCTGCGGTAGAAGAGGAGAGAAGAGGGATTAACCTGGCTGGAAGACTGGCAGACAGAGAACAGGTGTAGTGTAAACAGCGTAGGTACCATGGAGACACGGACAGTTGAACGAGAAAGCGTTATGGTTGAAAGGTAGAGCGCCGATGACGAGATGGTTCATCAACCAGCCAGTCGGTTGACTCCCTCACTTGGACCACATCATTCACATTCACATCTACCTCGAATCAGCTATTTTTCGACGGCCTTTTCATCTCAATTGGTGTATTTATAGCGTTCCTGCTTCTGCTATTCTGTGAACTTGGCCAGGTCCGATTGTAATTAATGAATGACTTAGGAAAAAAGTATGAGCGGGGCGAAGAAATATTGATATTGGGGTCGATTTATAATTGAGAGCCTTCTTAATCCTATAATTACCCATCTTCTTGAACTGAGAATCAATTAATCGTCTTTACATGAAGGGTGCGCCATGCATTTGGCCTTGCCTTGAAATTTTAGCGGTGTTTGAGCGCATAGTTAGCTTGTAGATGATTTAGTTGAACTAGTCTTTGGCAAAATGATCTTTTTCTTCAATATGGAACTCGAACTAGCATGAAGAAGGGGTTCAATTATTTTCTACGAGATTCGGCCTTCGGGCTTCGATTCTTTGACCATATGTTTGATAGCAGCACCCCTGCCACTGCTCCGCTTCTTTCATCCTGGCATAAAATATTATCCCACATAGTATTTCTACAAGTGAACGTTTATTTCCTAATCAATTTGATGTAAAAAGTGAACATGATTTCCAACCTTCTGGACATATAAGCCCCGCTGAGTGGGTTTAAGATTGGTCAATGGTACCTGAATGCCCGATGATCCTTTCCGCAAATATGGCCCGTGTGAGTTCTAGCGACCTTCGGCGTTCCGATTTTCGTCTTTCGTGAAGAGCAAGACATTTGGCACTTTCTCGAGTGTCTGCTTTGCTATAAGCGGATTATTCCATCAGGAAGTGCTCGATTTTCTCGTAGCGAAGATCTTTTTCAGCGACCACTAGTATCATTAATTTTTATTTAACTTTTTTGGATTTCTCCTTTGTTCTGCTATAATTCTAGTATTCACTCGCCATTATGTACGCATTGAGTTGTATACGCATGAATGGGTTCACNAAGACCAGCTACGCCGTCGATCAGCTTAATAGGGGGGCACTCAAATAAACTTTCCTTGACTTTAATGATTTTTTAGATAGGTATTTGAATACTTATTTGACTATCCATTCACAGTGAGACCGCTTGAGTATTTTCTGATGGACATTTCCATTCATAGATACGATTTTCGAACTTGTATAGCCTACTTTTTTTGAATTACTTATTACCAAAATTTTAAATACTACAGCTTTTTACTTCTTCATATTGATTTGACTTTATACTACTCACATCAGCAGATTGAAAAAATCATTTTACCACTGATGAGGATCGATCCTAGGG